CTACTTCTCTTCTTAATATTCTCAATTATCTTACTATTATTAGCTTTCATTACATATATAATGAATGAATTAAATTAAAGGAAGATAAATAGATGTTTGATTTTTATGGAGAATAAAAACATATGATTACAATTTTATTTATTATCATTTATAACACTATTATATCATTTTTATTTATTATTTTTTTTATTATTTTTAATTTTTTCACCTCATGCACTTTTCTTTTTTTTGTTGGAAAAAAAATGTGGACGAGGAAGTGAGATCTAAAAAAGCTTGGCAAAGCCAACAAACCTTCTCTCCGTCAACCATGCTATCGTTCGCGAGCGTGGTGGTTTAGCTGGAAACGCCAGAGATGGGTGGCAGAGGCCGACCGAGAAAGAAAGATTCAACGCCTAAGGGTGGTGCTGCAACAAAAACAATTGATCTGAAAGATGATAATGGGGAGCAAAATAGCATCTCAGTTGAGGAAACCAACAAAGAGCAAACTGAGGTCGTGAAGCTTGTTGCTCGCGATCCAAACCAGATGGGTCTCGAAATTGAGGAATTAAGGCGTTTGAGTCCAGATCTAGGGGAGAAAGAAGGGGACGCTGAAGGAATTTTGCTAGATCTAGCAGTTTCAACGCAAGGCCAGAGGACAAGCAGATTCGATGCTGGTCCCAAGGATGGAAGAGCAGATAAGGGGAAGAGCGAGGCCGACCCCGTGGAAGGGAAAGTAGCGAAGGGGAAAAAGGGAGTGCGCTTGGAGACTCAACCTTTTGTCATCTAGATGAAGCAACCTTCTGGGAAAAGGATGCTGGTTCTACATCCGGTACAGCGATGTCTCCTAGTGCTCGGTGGAGTGACCTGATTGAGAAGGAGAAAGGGGAATTTCAACCATCCCTAAAGTAGAAGCCACTGTGTAGTTGGGCTTCGATTGTGGAAGGGAATAGGGATATCAGTAAAGGATGGGATTTGCAATACATAAAACCTCAAGATCCAACTGGTGCTATGGTTATTACTGAGAATGAGTGGGTTAAAGGGTCAAAGATTTGGGAGAATGCTCTTGTTGGGTATGTTCTGGGATCTAAACCTGATTTTAAGGATGTTGCTAATTTTGTGAATAACAGGTGGAGGGAATTCCAGGTGCCTAAGGCGTTTATGCTGCGAAATGGAGTTTTCTTGTTTGATTTTGGTAATGGAGATGCAAAGCAGGCGGTGCTATAGAGGCGATGGACATTTAATGGGCACCCTTTGATTTTGAAATAGTGGACTCCAGATTTTGATCCTGACAATTTGGATATCAGTAAGATTCCTGTCTGGATCCAATTTCCTGAACTCCATTTGAGTCTTTGGAACCCTGAGAGCTTAGGAAAGCTAGCAAGCTATGTAGGAGTTCCTATTAACAGCTAAAAGGCAAAGAGTGGCTTATGCTCGCATGCTAGTAGAGATGGAAATCATGGACACTCTGCCCCATGTAGTTCCTATTATTGGTCCTAAGGGTATGTTCCAGCAGCCTGTGGTCTTTGAATGGGAGCTTGTTAGATGTGGTAAATGTAGAAACCTGGGGCATGAAGAGAGAAAATGTACGACTAAGGAAAAAAAGGTGTGGGTTCCAAAAAAACTTGCCGAGGAGCAAGTGGTCAATCAAATAGTTGGCACGAAGTCTTCTGAGGGGAATGCTGAATTATGTGGTGGTGAAGTGCAAACTGCTACTAATTCAGCAAATGTGAAGCAGAGTACACTTTCACGTCCTTCTGGAAAGCTGATAGTGGAAAGCAATGAGCAAAGTCCAGTGCAACTGGAAGTGGGAGCTATTAAGTCAGTGAATCTGCAGAGTGAGACTAGTACTGGTACAGGGGATAAAGAGATTATGTAAAAGGCAGCAGGGGGAGAATCTTCTGTAAGTAAATCTCTCTCATGATATATCTTTCTTCATGGAATGTGAGGGGTTTGAATGACCTTATAAGACAAGTAGATGTTAAGAAGTTTATATGTTCAAATAAAATCCAGTTTATGGCTTTATTAGAAACTAGAGTGAAACAAGAGAATAGTAGTCGAGTTGTGCAAACTTTTGGTAGGCAATGGGGATGGTTGAATAATTATAACTCTCATCCTAATGGTAGAATTTGGATATTATGGAATAAAACAGATTTGAGGGTGACTGAAGTAATACAAACAGACCAATTGCTACATGTTGAAGTATCCTCTGCAGTTGGGGATGTTAAATTTTTGTGCACAATTGTCTATGCTTTTAATACTTTTGATGGTAAAGTAGCATTATGGGATCAAGTTAGAGCTCTAGACGTTGAAAATGTGCCATGGATAATTTCTGGAGATTTTAATACAACTCTAAATTATGGTGAAAGGGTGAAGCTTAGTGGAGTTGTTTGGGGAGATACCTTTGAGCTCAAGGATTTTGTCAGTAGAATGGAGGTTTTTGATTTGCAATTTTCAGGTGCTTTCTTCACTTGGAGTAATAAGCAAGGAGAAAATGACAGGCTATGGTGCAAGCTGGACAGGGTAATGGCTAATTCAACATGGGTTAGTGCATTCTCAAATACTTCTGTTGTCTTTCTAAATCCACAATCCTCATATCACTCACCCTCTTTAGTGACTGTGGATGTATTGATGAACGAGAAACCAAGGCCATTTAGATTCTGCAATGCTTGGTCTAAGGATGAAAACTTCCTTGATCTGGTTAGGGAAGCTTGGAGTATGGATATTCAGGGATGCCCTATGTTTGTTATAGTGCAGAAATTGAAATTGGTAAAACATAAGATGAAGCAGCTGCATAAAAATAGATATGGAAACTTGGAGGGAAGAATAAAAGATATGGCAGCAGAGCTACAAAATGTTCAAGCTTCCATGCAGAATGCTTTATTTAATGAGACTTTGGCTGCAAAGGAAAAGGAACTTCAACGTGAATTAACTAAGCTTGAGAGAGCAAATCTGTCCGTAATTGCCCAGCGAGCTAAAGTAACTTGGCTAAAGGAGATGGATTCTAATTCTGCTTATTTTCATGCTAAAGTAAAGGAGAGGCAGCATAGAAGTATTATTAACTCCATCCTGAACAATGAAGGAGTTAGAGTGACTCAGCCTGAACTTATAAAACAAAAGTTTTTAATGTTCTATCAAAACTTGTTTGGAAAGGCAAAAGAAGGTGTTCAAGCAGTTGATATGAATGTTATCCGCAGGGGCAGAGTGTTAACTACTGAAGAGTTAGAAGAGTTATGCAGGCCATTTACTACTAAGGAAGTGGAGACTGCCCTATTTTCAATTCCTTCTAACAAGTCACCAAGGCCTGATGGATTCACTTCAGGGTTTTATAAAGCAGCCTGGTCAATAATTAAAAATAATGTCACAGCTGCTGTGTTGGATTTCTTTGACAGTGGGAAAATACTCAAGCAAATTAATGCCACCAATATTACTATTGTTCCGAAGGTGAGTTGCCCAAATGTTGTCAGTGATTATAGGCCAATAGCTTGTTGTAATGTCATCTACAAGGTGATATCAAAGCTCTTAACCCAGAGGATTAATGAAGTGCTGAGCATGCTGGTTAGCAGTAATCAAACTGCATTTGTAAAGGGCAGATCTATAACGACAAATTTATTGATTTGCCAAGATCTGGTGAGGAACTATCATAGAAGTAAGGGGCCAGCTAGATGCTTAATGAAAATTGATCTACAAAAAGCATATGATTCAGTGGATTGGGGTTTTGTTAATGCAATGTTAAGAGGGCTGAACTTCCTTGATAGATTTATTAACTGGCTTATGCTTTGCGTTTCTACTACCAGATTTTCTGTATCGATAAACGGACAGCCAAAGGGTTATTTTCAGGGGCAACGAGGGCTTCAACAAGGTGATCCAATCCCGCCTTATCTATTTGTGCTAGTGATGGAATATCTCACAAGGAAATTGAAGGAGTTAGATATGCAGGAGAAGTTTAAATATCATAGTAAGTGTCGAGTGATGCAACTTACGCACTTGATCTTTGTAGATGACATTATGCTTTTTTGTAAGGCTGATGAGGAGTCCACTGTTTTGATGATGCAAAAGTTTGAGGAGTTTGCCCGAGTCTCTAGGTTGGAAGTGAATAGAATGAACAGTCAAGTTTTCTTCAGTGGTGTTAGAGAAGGGCAGAAAGTTGCTTTAATTCAGAAGCTGGGTTTTGCTGAGGGACAGCTTCCAGTTAGATATTTGGGGTTGCCATTTATTTCAAAAAAGCTGTCTCCTAAGGCATGTCAACTTATTATCGATAAAATTCATCAAAGAATTGGCTCTTGGGCAACGAAATTCCTTTCATATGCAAGTAGATTTCAACTAGTTAACTCTGTTTTATTCCACATTCAAGTTTTTTGGAGTGGTGCTTTATTGATTCCTAAGAAAGTGTTAAAGCTAATTGATGCTGCTTGTAGAAATTTCATTTGGTGTGGTAAATGGAATTATAATGCAATGTCTCTTGTAGCATGGGATGATGTATGTGTGCCAAGGAAAGAAGGGGGACTAAGGGTGAAGCAATTGTTGCATTGGAATAAGGTAGCATTAGGCAAATTGGTTTGGAATATATGTCAACATCAAGAGTCGCTATGGGTTAAGTGGGCACAGGTGGTGCTGTTGAGGGGTGAAAATTTTTGGAAGGTTAAAATCCCAGCAGATTGTGCCTGGACATGGAGGTAAGTTTTAAAACTTCGTCCTTTACTGAAAAATATCATTTGGATGCAAGTGGGAGATGGAAGACAAGTTTCACTATTCTATGATTGGTGGGCAGGTGAGTTAAGGTTCTGTGAGTTGATCTCAAAGGATGAGATTGTTGTTTAAGGCCATGACCTTACAGTTAGTGAGTGGTGGGATGGTTTAGATTGGACCATTCCAGATAGTTTTGTGAGAAGACATCCCATGCTTGTCCAGATTATTAGATGTCAAAAATTATCTCAACAAGTGGACAAGGCTGTATGGAAACCTGCAAAGAATGGTTTGTTTACTATTTCAAGTTGCTATGAGTTCCTAAGAGTGAAATGCCCTAAGGTAGAATGGCATCATATTGTTTGGGCAGGGTGCATTTTCCCGCGACATAGATTCATCTTTTGGTTGGTATTGTGGGGTAGACTAAAAACTAGAGATTTACTAACACGTAGAGGTATGAGAATTGAGAAAGGGTGCTGCTTGTGTGGTAGATATGATGAAACTTGTGAGCACCTGTTTTTTTATTGTGGTTTTGCTAAAGAAGTGTGGAGGTTAGTCTTGGACTTCTTGAATATTCACAGACAACAAAAAAAAGGTGGAGTGTTGAATGGCTATGGTTAAAGAAGGCATGTAAAGGCCGATCAACGCAGTCAAACAAGTTGAAAGCTGCAGTAGCTGCCACTATATATATGATTTGGCAATAAAGAAATAGGAGAGTAACTCTTAGTAAGTTTTTGGTTGAAAAGGATATATATAATGAAATAGTTAATTTTTTGAGATTAAAGATCTGAAAGGTGTAATTCCTTGAGTATACCTAGGAGGAAATTGTACATGTCATCTAACATCTAATGAAAAACTTGCCTTTTCCAAAAAAAAAAAAAAAAAAAAAAGCTTTGCAAAAAAGAAGATTTTTGTATGAATTGTTTGATTTTATTT